TGAAGTCAGAATTTTTGTTTTAAATTATAAAAATGTGCTGATGTTCTCCGCTCAGTTTGAGGCCAGCGTTCTGTAGACATAAGCTGCTCCATCAAGATGAGCTCCCTGCAGCCTAAATTGACAGTGACGTCTATCCATTCACGCTACCCTGTGTAAGTAGGTCAGTAGTCTCCAACCATTTTCCTCCTGTGTGCTACTTTTCAAAAATGCCAGAGAGCTACTCATTTTAGCGGTCGCCAAAAAATAAATATTTAAATTAAATAAATATAAGAGCCACGGCGAGCCTCAGATGAGGTACAGTTAGATGCTTATAAAACATAATCCAGTCCAATCCAGCTTTATTTGTAGAGCACATTTTATAAACAAGTTTCCAAAGTGCTTCACATAGCAATGAAAAACATTTAACTCTAAAAACTCAACAGAATTATGTTCCAGACAAAAAAAGAAACTCATAGAATCAATAAATACTATAATAATAATAAAATCAATGAATAAAAATAATAAAAGCAGTAATTAAAAGCATTACTAAAAAAATAAAATGGATAAAAACAATAAATAAATAAAAGATAAAATAAATAAAAGACAGAGGAACACACAGCTCATTAAAAAGTGAGTGTTAAGACGAGACTTAAAACACTCCACTGTGGGAGCTGTGCGGATGTGGTGGGGCAGAGTGTTCCAGAGTTTGTGGCCGGTCACAGAGAAGATCCTGTCTGCCCTGGTTTTAAGTCTTGTTTTAGGCACCACGAGCTGGAGCTGGCCCTCGGACCTCAGAGCACATGTGGGCATAGATAGATCATTATACACTTATCAGTGCACAAAATTAGGCATCAAAATGATACATTTACATTGGAAAAAGGCCTTTAGTTAGTCAGATGTGAGTTATTTAGGACAATACGTATAATTCAGAAATCCCTTGGCGAGCTACAGATTGGAGACAGTTGGCATAGGTAGTTCATTTAGACAGTCGTATTCTGCTGAAATAGGGTTCAGACTAAAGGGTGCAGGCCTTTAGCCATCAAATAATGCTCCCACTGCAGAATCACCATTATTTACTCATTTATATGAAATTGAGTAGAGGTAGCAAATCTTGACAGGCCTATATCTTCCCCCAAATAATGCATCAGTAGAGGAAGCACACCTCACTTTTATTCTATGTCCACATAGAAACAAAATAAAACACATGTAATGAAAATAATAACGATAAAATCAAATATTAAATCCAAACTATTCAATCATCTAACGTAGGATTCTGCCACAAAACTTGTACCTCGGGTAGCTCAAATTGACAGATAGACCATTTTGATAGGACACTGGATCCAGTATTCCTGTATAAATAGTTGTATTTTTATTAGAAATATTAAAGAAAAAAATCCACTAAAGTTTCATATTCAGAGTACTCAGTTCCATTTTATATATACTTGATGCTACTTTTTCTCATTCTTGTGTCTGTCCCTTCAAAATAAAATACTAGATTTTGTGGATTATTTCATGTTTTGTCCTTCAAATTTCAAACTTCATATAATAAATCAGATTTTATCATTTGAAGAGACAGTTACTCTTAAGTTAATAGTTAAGTTATTTCTTGATCCAACCTTGAAAATATACATATTAACTGACAAATATTACTTGTGCTCAACTCAATAACCATTTATATTCCAGAATTATGAAAAATTAAGACTGTTGTCATAGCAATAAACAATTTAAAACAAAAAAACTGTATTTTTATGTAATTGTTATAATATTGTATAATTGTTATGTATGCAATCATGACATATTTCATGACCCAATAAAAATTTGAATTATTTTAGCCACTTTGACTATTTCCCAGTGGATCAATAAAGTATGTATCTTGGTTTAACCTTGAAATTTACCGTAAATATGATCAAATGCCACCGTCGTGCGTACAGTCTGAAATACAGGAAGTGGCGTGGAGCTGTGGTTAGATTGTCCCACACGGCGTCACCATTACAAACATCGTATGGATTTTAATGGGAGTTTGCACAAGGAGAGAGTATTTATGAGGGAAAGGATGAGTCAGCAAATAAAAGATTAAAAGGTTATAATAATGTGGTTAGGTCGAAAGCACTTCAGTTTAAAACTATGACTAAACATGAGGTAATGCCAAATAATGAGCCAATAACATTTACAAAGGTGACCAAGCAAAAATCATGTATAAAATGTCATATAGGAAAAGCTCGTTTGCACTGAATTGGGAATAAAATGTTAAAAGGTTGATAAACTTTGCAGCTGATGTCATCAACAATCTCTGGGGGGTTGTAACTAACTAACTAGAGGCTCTGTTCTATCTGAGGCTCTGTTACTCAAATTCGACTTTAATCTGAGCTTTGTTTTCAATAATTTGACCAGAAAGAACAATTTAGCCAGAACTAAATCAGATGATCTGATTTGTTCTGTTAAACAATCTCTCACTCTCTCAAATAACATTACTATGTAACTAGCATTAGCCAACAGTTTTTCAGTTAGTCACTCTCACCTTTTAGTTGAAAATCAAACCCCTAAACAGGACCAGGATGAATATGGAATACAGCGTAATGTTAAAAACCCAAACAACAACTAGCAGCTCATTTGATGGTGTAAACTGTTTGTTTGTCCATCTGTTTCCCTCTGCTTTATCCAGGGTCGGGTTGTAGATGCAGCAGTCTGAGCAGAGACTTCCCTCTCCACACCCACCTCCTCCAGCTCCTCTGGGGGACCCTAAGGCGTTCCCAGGCCCAGAGACAGAGTCCCTCCAGTGTGTCCTGGGTCTTCCCCAGGGCCTCCTCCTGTGGGACATGAATGCCTCTCCAGGGAGGCGTCCTGGAAGCGTCTGGACAGATGTTCTCCCCTCAACTGCTCCTCTCCAAGTGGAGTAGTAGCTCTACTCTGAGCGTCTCTCATGTGACTGAGCGTCTCACCCTGTCTCTAAGGGAGCACCAGCCATTCAGTTGGGGAAACTCATTTTGATCGCTTGTATCTGTGGTCTTGTCCTTTTAGTCATTCCCCAAAGCTCATGACCATAGGTGAGGGGAGGAGAATAGATGCAGTGGTAAATAGAGAGCTTTGCCTTTGTGCTCAGCTCCTTCTTCACCACAACACTGCAGACACTGATTCACCTGTCAATCACACGCTCCATCCTCCCTTCACTGAACCAGGTCTAAACCAAGTCTAACCCAGGACCAGACCAAAACCCTCACTCGTGAACAAGACTCCAAGATACTTGACCTCCTCCACTTGAGGCAGGGACTCTCCACCACCTGTAGAGGGCAAACCCCTGTGTGGCTCCAGTTTGCACCAACAGCCCTCATTATGTTTTTTAGTAGTGGATCACACAGACACCGGGAAATGATCTGCTTTGGGAAGTAACTAAATAGAGGCCTACCAAGTTTTCAGTAACAGTATTATGGGATAATTACTCTCTCATTTGATTATATTCAGAATACAGTTACTTTACTAAAATCAAAGAAATATATTGCTTATATATCACTTTTTTGGTCAGTGTGTCTGCTAAATTGTGCCATGATACTGAAATTTCAAACTTGACTTTAATACTGTGGAGACTTGATACTGATTCTAATACTACAATGATGATAAATATAATAAAAAAAAAAATTAATAATAAAAACTGTATAGAATTCATAGAGTTCATTTTCAGTATTATATCATGCTTTCTTTTATTTTACCTTATATTGGCCTTTTATGTGTGTAACACGTGTGTACTTCTTCTGATACAGTATTAATATCGATAAGTGTCTGATTTCAATACTTTTCACAACCCTAGCAAATAAATGCCTCAAAAACTCTGCAGCAAAAAAGTATTTTTAACACTTTAGTATAAATCAAGCCAATAAAAGTATCAAGTACTCTAAGTATTGAGCGTACAGGACTCTGATTGGACCATGTAATGAAATATAATACAAAATACATTTTAATACATATATTCAGTGCTCTGTAACTAAATATATATTTATCTTTTTAAAAGTTTCCCTCCTCTCAACAGTGATAAAAACTTGTTGTTGCTGAATAATATCACATAATAGGGCTTAAAAACTACTGGCCTGATACGAGCCCTTGTATTTTTTATTAATTCATTTCTGTTTGTTCAGTTTCTGATAAAAAGGGAACTCTCAATCTCATGAACATGTAAAACATTAATATCACCCACTTATTTTCAGTCAAATCAACCATTCTGAGAAGAATCTGGACTAGTCTGGACTCCAAACCCACAAATACAAAAATAGCCCAAAATTATTAAAAAAAAAAAATTTAAGAGGAATTTTATATGAATTCCACCTGGACTTGTTTGCCTCATTACAAGTCTCTAAATCTCATGTTTACTGAGGTCCGCTTCAGCTCTGACATGGGAATTGTCAAGATCCAACAAATGCTCTGATACTGTCTCTCAGACCATCTCCAGGGACATCTGCTATACCTGTTCTTATATTTACCCCCAAAGATTTAGGTGGACTTTGAAATCTGACTTTCCTCTGTATAGAGCTTGTTCCCAATTCAAATGAGGGAACAGAGACAGTTAGAGGACAACAGAGGCAGAGACAACAACTACCACTCCAGAGCCTCAGTTTCGCAAAGAGTCCAGCCATTCATCTGAGCCCCAAAAGGTTCAGAAACAGATTCAGTTTGAATTGTTGAGTCATTTAAGATGGCATTTTAGGAAAAAAATAGGCCAAAACACAAAGGGGTTAAAAACTATACATATACAGACTATTAATTGTATTATATTACTTTTAACTAACCCATCATGCCACCCACATTAAGCATTTTAAAAACAGTTTTTCAACTTTTCATCGTGTAAAGTGAATGGGAAACCTCTGCTGTGGAGGCGGGACCTGGGGCAGAGGGGTTTCTTGATTGACAGTTGAATTAGCCAACAGAATACGAGTAACGGAGCCCCTGACGCTGCCAAACCTTCCCATCTGTAATTAAGGCAAAAACCACGACCAAATATTTGATAAACTTTTTTTTTTTCTTTTGAGCGGAGGGAAGATGGCGTGGAAATGAAAGAAGATGGGATATTTCTCGGAGTTTGCCACGTTTTTGAGGCGTTTTGTCACGTTTGATGCGATGTTTTGATAGGAGAAGACGTCAGATAAAGTTGCAAGACACGTACTGCAAAGTTTGAAGTGTTTTTGCGGTAAAACTACTACGACTTTATTGCAATCGGCGTGTATTTGCAGCGTTGTGTCCGCGTTCAGGCTGCCCCGAGAGGCGATGGGGGCCGCTCCGGGCTCGGGCTGGGAGGAGGGCGAGTTTGAGTTCAAGTTGGTCTTCGAGGAGGACCACCAGAACCAGCGGCCCACTCCGGTGTGCGCGGCCGAGGAGGAGCGCTCAAGGCCCGGGGAGGAGAGTGAGAGCGGCCCGCTGCCCCTGGAGACCACCAACAACGGTCAGTTTCGTTTTTTTTTCCCTCGTCACGCTGAAGTTAGTGTGAAAAGTGCATGGGAAATGTCGACTACTTTGTTTACGTTACTAAGTTGGAGAGGCAGACCAGAGCTTTTATTAGGGCTGCCTCAAGATTCATCGCAATCGAATTGAAATCGCAATCGCAATTTGAATAAGAAATCGCAAAAGCTGTCATTTTTTGAAGTACCATAATTATAATTTCCTCCACAAACAAAATCTCTTGTCTTATTCTGCATAAAAACTTCTCACCCTGTACTTTACATCTGTACAAACATGTTCAGAAATGTGATTCTTGTTTGAATTTATTGTTAATTTCAGTCTTATTGCCAATTCTTCTGGACGAGTTTAAAATTCTATTATTAAAACTTAAATCACAATCGCAGAACTTGTCAGAAAAAGTTGCAATTAAATATTTTTCCTATGCCTTTCAGCCTTGTAGCCTTTATTACAATGGATAAAGATTTTCATTGGGATCTGGTTTTCCACCGAGGAGTTTGGTGGACCCCTATTTTACATTTAACAAGCTTCTGAGCTGAACTATAAATTGGAATATGCCTTGCTCCTTGTAGCCTAATAGCTGACGCATAGCCTAAAAGAAGTAGCTTAAAATAGTGGTTTAACGTTTAAAGGTTCGTTGTGTAACTTTTCTGGTGGAGGGTCCGTCAAGTGCTTTTCTCCATGGAGATGTTGTTGCTTTGTCTGGTGGATGGTTCACGCTTCACAGTATGGTGTTAAACCTTTCTGTCGTCATGGAGACCAAACCAGACCAAGTTACAGGTCAGATTTGTGGAGAGTCAGAATGCCTGTTTTTCTACATATTTTAGAGTTATAAAACCACCTGTAATTGAATAAATATGAAGTAGAACTGTCATACTTTGGAACATTCCAGGCAGAGCAGTTACATATCCATAGAAACAACCAGAAAGTTACATAATACACCTTTAAATAAAAGCGATCAGAGACGTTTTCTATCCAAAAATTATACTTGACGGTGCACTATAATTTATGGAAATGTTTTGTTTGAGGGTCCATGGAGATGTTATTGATTTGTGTGGAATGTCCCAAAGTACAACATTAAACTTGTCTATCTCCATGGTAACAACAAGGAGGAAACACCAGCCCAAGTTACAAGTTACAAGAGCTGTGGAGAGGCGAGTCAGCTCACAGTAGAATTCATGTTTTTCTCCTCAATGTATTTTTGAGCAATAAAACCAACTTGAATGAAATAAATGCTACATGTTTAATGCCATACTGCGGAGCATTCCAGACACCGCAATAACGCGAGAAAATAGGAAAAACTAGCGAAAAGTGAAATGTATTCATATGTTTATTGGAAGTGATGACCTAATATACAGGCCTGAAACTAACTGAAGCTAGACCTTTTATGTTTAAGCCATTAATTGATCAAATATTGTCTGTATAATCAGTTTAATCTCTAAATTGGAAACATAAAGACTGGATCCAATTCTGAAATTCAAAACTATAATGAAAACTTCTTGAATTGATAAAAAAAAAAATTCTACTGGTTGCTAGGCTTACGAGTAAGACATAGACCTGGACCACTGAGGTATTATACAGATATAAGACCACATGGGAAGAGACAAGAAAGTACTATTTAATATTGAAAATCACATTCTGTTGTCTAAACAAAGAGTGTTTTTTTTTTATCATTGTGGTAGTTTAAAGTTTAAAGGTGCATGGTGTAACTTTTCTGGTGGAGGGTCCGTCAAATGCTTGTCTCTGGGGAGATGTTATGTCTTTTCCTTGCTCTTGTTCAATTCCAGGTGTTTATAGCTAAAAAAAAAACCTTAAAACACAAATTCTTACCATGTGCAGTCTTGCTCCTCCATAGATCTGACCATTAACCTGTCTCCGTTGTGATTACTCAGGTTATTTTCATTTATTTCTATTGTCTAAATATTGTCTAAAGAGTATCTGAATCGGTATTGAGCATCGAGTCTATTCCTTAGTATCAAAATCAAGTTTATTGCTTTTAGTTTTTCAAAATCTAGTATTGTGATAACACTACCGGCTGTTATTGCATTTCTGTTTAGCTGTGCATGGGAACTGTCTTATGTCGACTTCATGGCCTTGACTGGCTGCATAGTGAAGGCTAAGCAATAAATAAACTCTAAATGAACTGTAACACTGTCTAAACTAAAGAAAGTTGTGTTCAGAATCAGTCAATACAACAAAACGATACTAAACATCTTGTGCAGTAAGCCAAAGTCTCATTCAAGTAGCTATAATACACCACAGTTTTACTTCTAGCGTTGTCTCGATAATAAAATTTAAATGTTCACTGTGTAATGTTTTTAGTAGGAGGTCTGCCACAAACTTGTTACCATGGAGATATTTTTGTTTTGTCAGGTTTCACAGTCTTGCATTACTTATCTATGTTGCATTTATTAAATTACGGATGTTTTACTGCTCAAAAATAATGGGAAAAACATTCATTTATACAGCGAGTGAGCTCACGTCTCTGCTGATCTGAGATGTAACTTGGCTTGGAGGCGTTGTGGGCTTGTCTCCATGGAAATAGATCAGTTTAATGCTGTACTGTGGGACACTCCAGACAAAGTAAAGGCAAACCCTCCACCAGAAAGTTACACAGTGCGTCTTGAAAACTCCATTTCAATATTAAGGAATAGATTTATATACTCAATACTGATGTTATTACCATGATGATAATTAAAACACTCAGTAGTACTTTCTTTTCTTTTCCCATGTGGTCTTATTTGTGTGTAATCCCTCAGTGGTCCAGGCAGATTCCATATACTTGTTCTGATACAGCTCAAGATTAGGGGTGTGCAAAAATATAGAAAATATCAATATATCATATCATTTAATGTGATGGTACAGCATTGAATATCATGGGCTGCTGTATAGAGTAATATTTGGTTTATTTTACTAAATTATTTTGTCACAGCTACAGTTTTGTTGCTTGTTTAGAGGAAAGAAACATTTTATGCAACACATTTGACATTTTCACTGTTTTGATGATTAAAATGGGTGTGTTACGTATTAACTTGGCACAAGAAGTGGTTTAACAAAGACTTTTACTATCTCAGCCATGATTTAGCCTTTATTTTTTTATGGAACTATATCGAATCGATAGCACGCTGTATTGAGGTATGTATCGTATCTGCAACTTCTTAATGATACCCAGCTCTACTCAAGATCAAGGTTCATTTCTGTGCTGCGAATGGGACTTTTTTAATATCAATACCTGCGGAACATGAGTATCTAGTTTCGATACTAGTTTTAGTATTAGTTAGTATCTATATCTTTTACTCGTTATTTAACAGTGCACTATGTAACTTTTCTGGTTAGGGGTTCTCTTCCTTCTTGTCTCCATGGAGATGTTATTGCTTTGCCTGAAATGTCCCACAATAAGGCATTAAACCTATCCATATTTCATTTATTTCATTACAGTGTTGTTTTTAAGGCTAAAAATACCATTATCTGACCCATAATTTAAGATGGCAATGTGACCTGCTTATGTCAATGGAGACAGATATGTTTAATGTCATACTGTGGAATGTTCTCTGCGATGCAATAACATCTCCATGGAGACAAGAAAGTGGTAGATCTACACCGGAAAAGTTACACAGTGTACCTAAATATTTTGGTGGCTCTTCTAAGATCTGTAAGTTACAAAAGCTTCAAGTTAATATGCATTATTTCATGTTTTGCCTGTCCAATTCAAATCTACATTCATCTCTAAATTAAAAATCAGAATCATCATGTACTTAAAAGAGCATTGTGTAACTTTTCTGGTGGAGGGTCTGTTAAATTATTTTCTCCATGGAGATGTTATTGCTTTGTCTGGAATGTTTCACAGAAGAATTAAACCTTTCTATCTTCTGTTTCTAAGTATTTTTGAGCTATAAAACCACCTGTAACTGAATAAATGTAAGGTAGAACTGTTTAAAGTCATACTGCAGAACATTCCAGGCAGACATATCCATAGAAACAAGAAGTGAATGGACCCCCAACCATAAAGTTACATAGTGCACCTTTAAGTTTTTAAAGTAACAGTATTTTTGGCTGTCCACCTCGTCTGCTCCTGCGCAAAAGAGTCGTAAAAATAGCTGTTACAAATGGGCTTTAGGGTTGGCTTGGAGTCTAAGATAAACAAAGACAAAACATCTCTTTGTCTAAAACCAAGACTAAACATGGATTAGACCCAGATTAGACCAAGGACTAAAGTAGGACTAAACCAGAACTCAAAGAACACACTCAACACTAATATTTCACTACTGTTTACCTTACTTAACTTTAATTTGTAACTCCCATAGAAGATTTGGGACTTTTTAAACATTTTTAACTGTCTCGTGATTGTGATTTTCAAATGGAAATCCTTGAAAACTACAAAAATTATTATTAAAAGAACTATAATAAAAGCTAATATTGAACTATAGAGCATTAAAAGTCTTTTAAAGGGCATCTACTTTTTTTTTTTTTCCTTAAATTTGATGCCCCAGTAGAGATATAAGCAGCTCTTGAGGCCAAAATAAGTCAGCTGTGTTCTGTCTGCATGTAATTACAAATCACTTTATCGCCCGAGAATCAGGAAGTGTGTAGTTAGCATGCTAGCTGTTGTTGGCATTATGGCATCCTCTGAAAGTTGTGAAAAGCAATTATAAACTCATTGTGGTGTATGATTAGGATGCTCTGAATGCATAAGGTAACAAGAGTCATATGTTAATTACCATCACCTTTTTGTTTCTATGGAGATCATTGCTCTGCCTGGAATGTTCCACAGTATGACTTTAAACAGCTCTACCTTACATTTATTCAATTACATGTGGTTTTATAGTTCAAAAATACCTAGAAAAACAGACATTGTACCTGTGAGCGGGGTCGCCTCTCCACTGATCTGACCTGTAACATGGTCTGGCTTGGTTTCATTTCCATGAAGACAGAAAAGTTTAATACCATACTGTGAAACATTCCAGACAAAGCAATAACATCTCCATT